ATTGAAAGTCCTTAACACGGACATAACTTTAATGTTTAACACGGACATAAACCGTCAGTGCTTTATCCGACAGCCTGGACTCAGGAGGTTCACAGATATCAGACAGAGAGATAGTTCTTTTACCGTTTGAGGAATCTTTTCTTTTGTTTTGTGTGGACTCTGCAGCCTCACACTGAGAGCACAGAACATGTGAGAGATGCCTTTTCATTGTCCGTCTCCTCAAAACAAACCTCCTTCATCAGAGCCACATGTAAGGGCTATAACAAGGTCTGTGTCTGAATGATTTACTCTGCAGAGAGACGAGGCCGGTTAAATGTTCTGATGTCAGCTCGCTATCTCTGAAAAAGGCAACTCAGGTTTGGGGGCATAAAAACTCAGTGGGAACGAACTTATTTAGACAGATTCTGAATAATTGACTTAATTAACCATGTTCTTTCATTTCATTTTTTGGAGCGGCAAAATGTGACCTTTTTTTGGCCGTTTTTGACAACATTAAATTTGCTCCCGTTTGCACAAACAAAGTCTGATTTGCACAAAACTTTAATACATTGTTCAACTCTAGGGTCTAGGTCATTTGAAAGTTAATTTATTCAAATTGACACATTAGCGCGCCCCCTACAGATTATTTCAACGTTTTAGATGGGCATTTTCAAATTTAGTTTTTTCAAAATGTTTGAAATTTTGCACATACATCTGTTTTGCCCTCTTGATTCAAAAAGTCAACAGGGTCCAAGGCTTATTTTTTACCCTGTTGCCGCGGCGACGACAAATGCGCCCCATTCATTGCAAATGTACACCTCACACAAACATCAAACCAGTCTCGGCCGTTTCACCGATTTGCCTCAAAATCACTCCACATCATCTCAACACATATACCATCAAAATGACTTCAGGGAATTTTGATCAGTGAAACGTTATTTGAGCAGCAGAGCGCCAGAAAGTGGCGTATTTTTTTTCAGTTTTTGACAATAGAAAAATTGCTTCCGTTTGCACAAACAAAGTCTGATTTGCACAAAACTTGAATCCATGGTTCAACTCTTGGGTCTAGGTAATTTGAAGGTTAGAATTTTGAAATTGGCTCTATAGCGCCACCTACAACAGCCAATTTAAAAATGCCTATGGGAGGGGTTTGAGGTCAAAATTTTCGTAGAACCATGTAATTTGGTACACATGTTCCTCAAGTCAAGACATGGAAAAAATCTAATTATGACTAATCCCTCCGACAAACAGGAAGCCCATAAATTTCACTGCAAAATGGAAAAATGAAAACCAATCATTCTCATACACGTCGGTTGGAAAGCGACTCCTCCTCGGCCGTTTCACTGATTGGCTTCAAAATTGTTACAAATCATCTCAACACATTTACCTTCAAAATGACTTCAGGGATTTTTGATCAGTGAAACGTTGTTTGAGCAGCGGAGCGGCAAAATGTGAGGGTTTTTTTTGGCCGTTTTTCACAACATACATTTCTTCCCCGTTTGCACAAACAAAGACTGATTTTCATTAAACTTGAATCCATTGTTCAACTCCAGGGTTTAGGTCAGGTAAAAAGTGAAATATTTGAAATCGGCCCATTAGCGCCCCCTAAAGACTGAGTCAAAGTTTAAATGGGGAGCCAAACCAGCTCTACTTATCATATTCATTACAGTTTGACTAACAATCTTCTATGGCTACGGGAACAAATCATCACACAACGGCGCCACCTCCTTTGAGCGGTGCTGCGTGGTGCGGCGTAGTGCGGGGCGTTGTGGAGCGGCGCGTTGCGGCGGGGCGGCGTGAGGCGGGACAGCGTGGTGCAGGGCGGCGTGGTGCGGGGTGGCTTGGTGCGGGGTGGCTTGGTGCAGGCCGGCGTGGAACGGGGTGGTGCGCGCGGTGCGGGGAGTCGCGCGGTGCGGCGAGGGCCGTTCGACGCCGCTTGCGGCTTTAATTATACTTGTTCTAGCCCAGGAAAACCTGGGAAAGAACAAGTTTGCTGTTGTTTGATGTCATATTTGACCCACTGAACATGCACGAAAACTTACAAAATTTTGCCACAAGTTCTGTTCTTGCAAAAACTTTATTAATTTTGTGTTCCCTAGTAAGAGACTTCAAATTTGAAGTTGTAGGGGGCGCAATTGTAGTCTAATAAAGCCACCATTTGCACATACAAAGTCCGATTTGCACCAAATTTGAATTGGTTGTTCAACTTTTGGGTTTGGGTAAACTGAAAGTGTAAAACATCAAATTGAGGCATTAGCGCCCCCTACAGAATGTCATTTTCACACATGTTGGTTGGAAAGCGACTTCTCCTCGGCCTTTTCACTGATTTGCCTTAAAATCGCTCCACATCGTCTAAACACATGTACCATCATTTTGATTTCAGCGATTTTTGATCAGTGAAACGTTGTTTGAGCAGCGAAGCGCCAAAAAGTGGCGTTTTTTTTTTTTAGTTTTTGACTATAGAAAAAGTACTTCCGTTTACTCAAACAAAGTCCGATTTGCACAAAACTTGTTTTCATGGTTAAACTCTAGGGTGTAGGTCATTTGAAAGTGAAATAATTAAAATGCCAGAACAGCGCCCCCTACAACAGCCAATTTAATACTCCTATGAGAGTTTTGGAGTTCAAGTTTGCCGTAGAGCCATGAAATTTGGTACACATATTCCTCAAGGTAAGACATGAAAAAAATGTTATTATGGCCCCGCCCTCTGACTGACATGGAGCCCATAAATTTCACTGTAAAATGGATAAACGAACAGCAATAATTTTCACACATGTCGTTTGGGAAGCGACTCCTCCTCGGCCGTTTCACAGATTTGCCTGAAAATTGTTCCACATCATTTCAACACATTTACCTTCAAAATGACTTCAGGGAATTTTCATCAGGGAAACGATGTTCGAGCAGTGGAGCGGCAAATAGTGACCTTTTTTGACGATAGAAAAATAGCTCTCGTTTGCACAAACAAAGTTTGATTTGTACTAAACTTGACCCGGTTGTTCTACTCCTGGGCCTGGGTCACCTGAAGGTGTAAAATATTACATTGGCTCTTTAGCGCCCCCTACATATCGAGCTAAAGCTTTACATGGGGAGCCAAACCAACGGATCAATATCACATACATTGGTCTATGGCTATGGTAGCAAATCATGGCGCGGCGCGGCGGCGCCACCTGCGGAGCGGCGAGTCACGCGGGGAGTCACGGGGAGGGGAATTGCGGGTTGCGGCGAGTTGCGCGGTACGGGGAATCGTAGCGGTGCAGGGAGTCGTAGCGGAGCGGGGAGTCGTAGCGGAGCGGGGAGTCGTAGCGGCGCGGGGAGTCGTAGCGGCGCGGGGAGTCGTAGCGGAGCGGGGAGTCGTAGCGGAGCGGGGAGTCGTAGCGGAGCGGGGAGTCGTAGCGGAGCGGGGAGTCGTAGCGGAGCGGGGAGTCGTAGCGGAGCGGGGAGTCGTAGCGGAGCGGGGAGTCGTAGCGGAGCGGGGAGTCGTAGCGGAGCGGGGAGTCGTAGCGGCGCGCGGTGCGGGGAGTCGTAGCGGTGCGGGGAGTCGTAGCGGCGCGCGGTGCGGGGAGTCGTAGCGGCGCGCGGTGCGGGGAGTCGTAGCGGCGCGCGGTGCGGGGAGTCGTAGCGGTGCGCGGTGCGGGGAGTCGTAGCGAAGCGCAGTGCGGGGAGTCGTAGCGGAGCGGCAAGGCGCGTGGTGCGGGGTGTCGCGCGGTGTGGCGAGGGCCGTTCGACGCCGCTTGCGGCTTTAATTTATTTATTTCTTTCTTTTTTCTTCTGCACTTTGAGCCTTAATTTGACCCCCTGAACATGCATGAAAAGTTGTTAATTTTGGCCCAAAAATCAGACCTGGCGAAAAATTTGATATTTTGGTGTTTATTTTTATGGGACTCAAAAAATGACAGAACAGCGCCACCTACAACAGCCAAAATAATACCCCTATGGGACTTTTCGGAGGTCAAAATTGTCGTAGAAACATGAGATTTGGTACACATGTTTTTCAAGTCAAGACAAGAAAAAAATATTATTATGGCCCCGCCCTCTGACAAACAGGAAGCCCATAAATTTCACTGCAAAATGGAAAAATGAACAGCAAAAGTTTTCATACATGTCGGTTGGAAAGCGACTCCTCCTCGGCCGTTTCACCGATTCGCCTCAAAATCGCTCCACATCATCTCAACACATGTACCTTCAAAATGACCTCAGGGATTTTTGATCAGTGAAACATTGTTTGAGCAGCGGAGCGGCAAAATGTGACCTTTTTTTGGCCGTTTTTGACAACATTAAATTTGCTCCCGTTTGCACATACAAAGTCTGATTTGCACAAAACTTTAATACATTGTTCAACTCTAGGGTCTAGGTCATTTGAAAGTGAATGTATTCAAATTGACACATTAGCGCCCCCTACAGACTATTTCAAAGTTTTAGATGGGCATTTTCAAATTTAGTTTTTTCAAAATGTTTGAAATTTTGCACATACATCTGTTTTGCCCTCTTGATTCAAAAAGTCAATTGGGTCCAAGGCTTATTTTTAACCCAGTTGCCGTGGCGACGACAAACGCTCCCCATTCATTGCAAATGTACACCTCACACAAACATCAAACCAGCCTCGGCCGTTTCACCGATTCGCCTCAAAATCGCTCCACATCATCTCAACATATGTTCCATCAAAATGACTTCAGGGAATTTTGATCAGTGAAACGTTGTTTGAGCGCAGAGCGCCAAAAAGTGGCGTATTTTTTTTCAGTTTTTGACAATAGAATATTTTTTTCCGTTTGCACAAACAAAGTGTGATTGGCACAAAACTTGAATCCATGGTTCAACTCTTGAGTCTAGGTCAATTGAAAGTTCAAATTTTGAAATTGGCTCTATAGCGCCACCTACAACAGCCAATTTAAAAATGCCTATGGGAGGAGTTCAAGGTCAAAATTGCCGTAGAACCATGTAATTTGGTACACATGTTCCTCAAGTCAAGACATGGAAAAAATGTAATTATGGCTAAGCCCTCTGACAAACAGGAAGCTCATAAATTTCATTGCAAAATGGAAACATGAAAACCAATCATTTTCATACATGTCGCTTGGAAAGCGACTCCTCCTCGGCCGTTTCACCGATTCGCCTCAAAATCGCTCCACATCATCTCAACACATGTACCTTCAAAATGACCTCAGGGATTTTTGATCAGTGAAACATTGTTCGAGCAGTGGAGCGGAAAAATGTGACCTTATTTTGGCCGTTTTTGACAACATTAAATTTGCTCCCGTTTGCACAAACAAAGTCTGATTTGCACAAAACTTTAATACATTGTTCAACTCTACGGTCTAAGTCGTTTGAAGGTGAATTAATTCAAATTGACACATTAGCGCCCCCTACAGACTATTTCAAAGTTTTAGATGGGCATTTTCAAATTTAGTTTTTTCAAAATGTTTGAAATTTTGCACATGAATCCGTTTTTCCCTCTTGATTCAAAAAGTCAATAGGGTCCAAGGCTTATTTTTTACCCTGTTGCCGTGGCGACGAGAAACGCTCCCCATTCATTGCAAATGTACACCTCACACAAACATCAAACCAGCCTCGGCCGTTTCATTGATTTGCCTCAAAATCGCTCCACATCATCTCAACACATGTACCTTCAAACTGACTTCAGGGAATTTTGATCTGTTAAACGTTGTTTGAGCAGCGGAGCGGCAAAATGTGAGGTCTTTTTTTGCTCTTTTTGACAACATTAATTTTGCTCCTGTTTGCACAAACAAAGTCTGATTTGCACAAAACTTTAATCCATTGTTCAATTCCAGGGTTTAGGTCAGGTTAAAGTGAAATATTGGAAATTGGCCCATTAGCGCCCCCTACAGACTGTGTCAAAGTTTACATGGGGAGCCAAACCAGCTCTACTTATCATATTCATTACAATTTGACTAAGTTCTTCTATGGCTACGGAAACAAATCATCACACGGCGGTGCCACCTCCTTTTAGCGGTGCTGCGTGGTACGGTGTGGAGCGGCGCATTGCGGCTTGGTGCGGGGCGGCGTGGTGCGGGACGGCATGGTGCAGGGCGGCTTGGTGCAGGGCGGCTTGGTGCGGGGCGGCTTGGTGCGGGGCGGCGTGGTGCGGGGAGTGCGCGCGGTCCAGGGAGTCGCGCGGTGCGGCGAGGGCCGTTCGACGCCGCTTGCGGCTTTAATTAGGCCCGAGCCCCGAACGGGGTAAGGGCCTATTGCTTTCACAATGGTGAAAACAAATGGTGGCGGTGCGTGACGGACGCGTCAGCGCCCGTCACTCACCAAAACGTGACGGTTGCGTGCGTAAACTCAAAAGCTTTAAAATGATGTATCACATGCCATTGAAACCTATATTGTTTTTGCTCGAGACGTTAAAAAAAAAATTCCTTTTTTATTTATTTATTTATTTCTTTCTTTTTTCTTCTGCACTTTGAGCCTTAATTTGACCCCCTGAACATGCATGAAAAGTTGTTAATTTTGGCCCAAAAATCAGACCTGGCGAAAAATTTGATATTTTGGTGTTTATTTTTATGGGACTCAAAAAATGACAGAACAGCGCCACCTACAACAGCCAAAATAATACCCCTATGGGACTTTTCTGAGGTAAGTTTGTCGTAGAGCCATGAAATTTGGTACACATGTTCCTCAAGTCAAGACAAGAAAAAAATATTATTATGGCCCCGCCCCCTGACAAACAGGAAGCCCATAAATGTCACTGCAAAATGGAAAAATGAACAGCAAAAGTTTTCATACATGACGGTTGGAAAGCGACTCCTCCTCGGCCGTTTCACCGATTCGCCTCAAAATCGCTCCACATCATCTCAACACATGTACCTTCAAAATGACCTCAGGGATTTTTGATCAGTGAAACATTGTTCGAGCAGCGGAGCGGCAAAATGTGACCTTTTTTTGGCCGTTTTTGACAACATTAAATTTGCTCCCGTTTGCACAAACAAAGTCTGATTTGCACAAAACTTTAATACATTGTTCAACTCTAGGGTCTAGGTCGTTTGAAAGTGAATTAATTCAAATTGACCCATTAGCGCCCCCTACAGACTATTTCAAAGTTTTAGATGGGCATTTTCAAATTTAGTTTTTTCAAAATGTTTGAAATTTTGCACATAAATCTGTTTTGCCCTCTTGATTCAAAAAGTCAATAGAGTCCAAGGCCTATTTTTTACCCTGTTGCCGTGGCGACGACAAACGCTCCCCATTCATTGCAAATGTACACCTCACACAAACATCAAACCAGCCTCGGCTGTTTCACCGATTCGCCTCAAAATCGCTCCACATCATCTCAATACATGTACCATCAAAATGACTTCAGGGAATTTTGATCAGTGAAACGTTGTTTGAGCAGCGGAGCGCCAAAAAGTGGCGTAATTTTTTTTCGTTTTTGACAATAGAAAAATTGCTTCCGTTTGCACAAACAAAGTGTGATTGGCACAAAACTTGAATCCATGGATTAACTCTTTGATCTAGGTCATTTGAAAGTTTAAATTTTGAAATTGGCTCTATAGCGCCACCTACAACAGCCAATTTAAAAATGCCTATGGGATGGGTTCGAGGTCAAAATTGTCGTAGAACCATGTAATTTGGTACACATGTTCCTCAAGTCAAGACATGGAAAAAATGTTATTATGGCTAATCCCTCTGACAAACAGGAAGCTCATGAATTTCATTGCAAAATGGAAAAATGAAAACCAATCATTTTCATACATGTCGCTTGGAAAGCGACTGCTCCTCGGCCATTTCACCGATTGGCCTCAAAATTGCTCCAAATTATCTCAACACATGTACCTTCAAAATGACTTCAGGGATTTTTGATCAGTGAAACGTTGTTTGAGCAGCGGAGCGGCAAAATGTGAGGGTTTTTTTGGCCGTTTTTGACAACATACATTTTTTCCCCGTTTGCACAAACAAAGACTGATTTGCATTAAACTTGAATCCATTGTTCAACTCCAGGGTTTAGGTCAGGTGAAAGTGAAATATTTGAAATTGGCCCATTAGCGCCCCCTAAAGACTGAGTCAAAGTTTACATGGGGAGCCAAACCAGCTCTACTTATTATATTCATTACAATTTGACTAACAATCTTCTATGGCTACGGGAACAAATCATCACACAACGGCGCCACCTCCTTTGAGCGGTGCTGCGTGGTACGGTGTGGTGCGGCGTAGTGCGGGGCGTTGTGGAGCGGCGCATTGCGGCTTGGTGCGGGGCGGCGTAAGGCAGGACAGCGTGGTGCAGGGCGGCGTGGTGCGGGGTGGCTTGGTGCGGGGCGGCTTGGTGCGGGGCGGCTTGGTGCGGGGCGGCTTGGTGCGGGGCGGCTTGGACCAGGTGGTGCGCAGGGTGCGGGGAGTCGCGCGGTGCGGCGAGGGCCGTTCGACGCCGCTTGCGGCTTTAATTATTTATTAGGCCCGAGCCCCGAACGGGGAAAGGGCCTATTGTTTTTGCTCGAGAGATGTCAAATTCTGCACTTTGAGCCTTAATTTCACCCCCTGAACATGCATGAAAAGTTGTAAAATTTTGACCAAACATCAGACCTGGTGAAAAATTTGATATTTTGGTGTTTATTTTTATGGGACTCAAAAAATGCCAGAACAGCGCCACCTACAACAGCCAATGGGAGTTTCAGAGGTCAAGTTTGTCGTAGAGCCATGAAATTCGGTACACATGTTCCTCAAGTCAAGATACGACCGAAATGTTATCATGGCTCCGCCCTCTGACAAACAGGAGGCCCATAAATTTCACTGCAAAATGGAAAAATGAACAGCAAAAGTTTTCATACATGTCGGTTGGAAAGCGACTCCTCCTCGGCCGTTTCACCGATTCGCCTCAAAATCGCTCCACATCATCTCAACACATGTACCTTCAAAATGACCTCAGGGATTTTTGATCAGTGAAACATTGTTTGAGCAGCGGAGCGGCAAAATGTGACCTTTTTTTGGCCGTTTTTGATAAGATCAAATTTGCTCCCGTTTGCACAAACAAAGTCTGATTTTCACAAAACTTTAATACATTGTTCAACTCTAGGGTCTAGGTCATTTGAAAGTGAATTGATTCAAATTGACACATTAGCGCCCCCTACAGACTATTTCAAAGTTTTAGATGGGCATTTTCAAATTTATTTTTTTCAAAACGTTTGAAATTTTGCACATAAATCTGTTTTGCCCTCTTGATTCAAAAAGTCAATCGGGTCCAAGGCTTATTTTTTACCCTGTTGCCGTGGCGACGACAAACGCTCCCCATTCATTGCAAATGTACACCTCACACAAACATCAAACCAGCCTCGGCCGTTTCACCGATTCGCCTCAAAATCGCTCCACATCATCTCAACACATGTACCTTCAAAATGACTTCAGGGAATTTTGATCCGTGAAACGTTGTTTGAGCAGCGGAGCGGCAAAATGTGAGGTTTTTTTTGGCTCTTTTTCACAACATTAATTTTGCTCCTGTTTGCACAAACAAAGTCTGATTTGCGCAAAACTTTAATCCATTGTTCAATTCCAGGGTTTAGGTCAGGTTAAAGTGAAATATTGGAAATTGGCCCATTAGCGCCCCCTACAGACTGTGTCAAAGTTTACATGGGGAGCCAAACCAGCTCTACTTATCATATTCATTACAATTTGACTAACATTCTTCTATGGCTACGGAAACAAATCATCACACGGCGGTGCCACCTCCTTTTAGCGGTGCTGCGTGGTACGGTGTGGTGCGGCGTAGTGCGGGGCGTTGTGGAGCGGCGCGTTGCGGCTTGGTGCGGGGCGGCTTGGGGCGGGGCGGCTTGGCGTGGTGCGGGGAGTGCGCTCGGTGCAGGGAGTCGCGCGGTGCGGCGAGGGCCGTTCGACGCCGCTTGCGGCTTTAATTTCTTTCTTTCTTTCTTTCTTTCTTTCTTCTTCTGCACTTTGAGCCTTAATTTGACCCCCTGAATATGCATGAAAAGTTGTTAAATTTTGCCCAAAAATCAGACCTGGCGAAAAATTTGATATTTTGGTGTTTATTTTTATGGGACTCAAAAAATGCCAGAACAGCGCCACCTACAACAGCCAAAATAATACCCCTATGGGAGTTCTGAAGATCAAGTTTGTTGTAGAGTCATGAAATTCGGTACACATGTTCCTCAAGTCAAGACAAGAAAAAAATATTATTATGGCCCCGCCCTCTGACAAACAGGAAGCCCATAAATTTCACTGCAAAATGGAAAAATGAACAGCAAAAGTTTTCATACATGTCGGTTGGAAAGCGACTCCTCCTCGGCCGTTTCACCGATTCGCCTCAAAATTGCTCCACATCATCTCAACACATGTACCTTCAAAATGACCTCAGGGATTTTTGATCAGTGAAACATTGTTTGAGCAGCGGAGCGGCAAAATGTGACCTTTTTTTGGCCGTTTTTGACAACATTAAATTTGCTCCCGTTTGCACAAACAAAGTCTGATTTGCACAAAACTTTAATACATTGTTCAACTCTAGGGTCTAGGTCGTTTGAAAGTGAATTAATTCAAATTGACACATTAGCGCCCCCTACAGACTATTTCAAAATTTTAGATGGGCATTTTCAAATTTAGTTTTTTCAAAATGTTTGAAATTTTGTACATAAATCTGTTTTGCCCTCTTGATTCAAAAAGTCAATTGGGTCCAAGGCTTATTTTTTACCCTGTTGCCGTGGCGACGACAAACGCTCCCCTTTCATTGCAAATGTACACCTCACACAAACATCAAACCAGCCTCGGCCGTTTCACCGATTCGCCTCAAAATCGCTCCACATCATCTCAACACATGTACCATCAAAATGACTTCAGGGAATTTTGATCAGTGAAACGTTGTTTAAGCAGCGGAGCACCAAAATGTGAGGTTTTTTTGGCTCTTTTTGACAACATAAATTTTGCTCCTGTTTGCACAAACAAAGTCTGATTTGCACAAAACTTTAATCCATTGTTCAATTCCAGAGTTTAGGTCAGGTTAAAGTGAAATATTGGAAATTGGCCCATTAGCGCCCCCTAGACACTCTGTCAAAGTTTACATGGGGAGCCAAACCAGCTCTATTTATCATATTCATTACAATTTGACTAACATTCTTCTATGGCTACGGGAACAAATCATCACACGGCGGTGCCACCTCCTTTTAGCAGTGCTGCGTGGTACGGTGTGGTGCGGCGTAGTGCGGGGCGTTGTGGAGCGGCGCGTTGCGGCTTGGTGCGGGGCGGCGTGGTGCGGGGCGGCGTGGTGCGGGGCGGCGTGGTGCGGGACGGCATGGTGCAGGGCGGCTTGGTGCGGGGCGGCGTGGTGCGGGGAGTGCGCGCGGTGCAGGGAGTCGCGCGGTGCGGCGAGGGCCGTTCGACGCCGCTTGCGGCTTTAATTTATTCTTTATTTTTATTATCTCTTTCTGACTGTTGCACTGAGCCAAAGCAATTTCCAAGTCTGTGACTTCCTGTTACTTACGTGGCAATAAAAATGATTCTGATTCTGATTTCCTGTGTTCAAACTGATTGATTCTCTGTCCTGTTGTTGGTGAATTGACAACTTTGTAATGTCCTCCGAGACGCCTCCTCATTTAGGGCTAGACACAACGAAACAAATCTAACAAGTCTAGAGTAGGGAGTAATAGAGTATTTTCATTCTTAAAACTGTTTTCGGTCACAGTCCGTCCTCTTCCTTTTCATCTCCCCCTGAGCAGGTGACCCCAGACTCTCGTCCCTCTCGTCAAGCGGATGTCCCTCAGTCCTGAGCGGCTTCCTCTTCGCACAACACACACACACACACACACCCACACACACAACACACACACACACACACACACACACACACACCCACCCACACAACACACACACACACACACACAACACAGCCACATGTTTACATTGACGATGAGAGGAAGGGTGTAGTCCCACTGTTTCTGGCTCCTGTCCCGAAAAAAAATACACAAGGAGAGAGGAGAGACATGTGAGTGTGTGGGTGTGTGTGTGTGTGTGTGTGTGTGTTTGTGTGTGTGTGTGAGTGTGTGTGTGTGTGCGTGTGTGTGTGTGAGTGTGTGTATGTGTGTGTGTGTGTGTGTATGTTGTGTGTGTGGGTGTGTGTGTGTGTGTGTTTGTGCAGAAAGGAAACACCGGAGACAAGTTATTGCTACGTTTTGAGGAAGTGCAAATAATCAAGAACATGAGGAGAGATCAGAGGAAAACGTGACGTTACTGCTGTATTTTAGTCGGTTCATCTTCAAAGGTCGTTTGCTGTTTTCGATGATGCTAAAGTCATAATGAAGCGATCATTTCTGTGACTGGAGCCAGAGCAGAGTGAAATCACAGGCAGATGTGTATAATCTATGTACAAATGGCTTGAGTTTCTGTGAATTATAAACATGTATTAAAAACACCCTGGCGTGGGATCGGCCGGTGTGGGATCGGCCGGCGTGGGATCGGCCGGCGTGGGATTGGTGGAGTGGAGACGTATGGAGAGGTTTTTGCAGAGTAAACAAATCCCAGAGGTGATGTGGTCCTGACAGATCTGCTGCCAGCTCCAAACAGCTCCTCATCATGAACTGTCAGGACGCTGCGTAAACAACATTTGAACTCTAACCCAACAGGATTTTATTTCTCCAAAGAGAACGCAAGACTTTCAGACACAAACTCGAGCCGTCTCCATGAGCAGAACATGCAAACTGTCTAAGGGTATGGTTTAAACCTTCTGTGGAAGTCTTCAGTGGGAGAATAGAGGATAAGCCTGTTCCCACTACAGACTTTTCTGTGTGTAGAACTGGGGTTTTGACAGCCGTGGGAAAGGTTGGCGTGTTGTTTGGACCTATATTGGCATAAGCCACCATGGCAACGACAAGAACACGTTGAAATGAAAATATTAGTACCAACTCCCGACTTTCAAAAAGTTTTTTCCAAAGTCACAGCAACAGGACACATTATAACGGACAACAGGAAGTTCATTCAGAAATGTGAAAAAATAACTTTATAATGAAAAAGAAAAAAGAACAAAGCTTCACTTTTGTTACGCTTTTATGAAGGTTTAGTGTGACTGTAACTGTGTGACTGTGTGATTGTGTGTGATTGTGTGACTGTGACTGTGACGGTGTGATTGTGTGTGATTGTGTGACTGTGTGATTGTGTGACTGTGACGGTGTGATTGTGTGATTGTGTGACGGTGTGACTGTGATTGTGTGTGATTGTGTGACTGTGTGACGGTGTGACTGTGTAATTGTGTGTGATTGTGTGTGATTGTGTGACTGTGTGACGGTGTGACTGTGTGATTGTGTGTGATTGTGTGACTCTGTGATTGTGTGACTGTGTGATTGTGTGATTGTGTGACTGTGAGACTGTGATTGTGTGATTGTGTGACTGTGTGATTGTGTGACTGTGTAATTGTGTGACTGTGTGACTGTGTGACTGTGTGACTGTGTGATTGTGTGTGACTGTGTGATTGTGTGATTGTGTGACTGTGTGACTGTGTGATTGTGTGATTGTGTGATTGTGTGACTGTGTGATTGTGTGATTGTGTGACTGTGTAATTGTGTGACTGTGTGACTGTGTGTGACTGTGTGACTGTGTGATTGTGTGACTGTGTGACTGTGTGACTGTGTGATTGTGTAACTGTGTGACTGTGTGATTGTGTGACTGTGTGACTGTGCGATTGTGTGATTGTGTGACTGTGTGATTGTGTGACTGTGTGATTGTGTGACTGTGTGATTGTGTGATTGTGTGATTGTGTGACTGTGTGATTGTGTGACTGTGTGATTGTGTGATTGTGTGACTGTGTGATTGTGTGGTTGTGTGACCCAGAAAGACTGGGTCACAGGGCGGGTCAAATGGCGAGTCTTTCTGACCCTCAGTGTGTCAGAAACAGGCACTCGCGTGTTTTGGGTCAAATCTTCATGTTTTTGCTCCAGAGGAATGAGCATTATGATTTAGACTTTACACTGTAACGACACAGACATGGCCCGACACTGACACTGACATGGCCCGACACTGACACTGACACTGACATGGCCCGACACAGACATGGCCCGACACCGACACTGACATGGCCCGACACTGACACTGACATGGCCCGACACTGACACTGACACTGACATGGCTCGACACAGACATGGCCCGACACCGACACTGACATGGCCCGACACCGACACTGACATGGCCCGACACTGACACTGACATGGCCCGACACAGACATGGCCCGACACTGACATGGCCCGACACCGACACTGACCTGGCCCGACACTGACACTGACACTGACATGGCCCGACACTGACACTGACATGGCCCGACACAGACATGGCCCGACACCGACACTGACACTGACATGGCCGGACACCGACACTGACACTGACATGGCCCGACACTGACAAAGACATGGCCCGACACTGACATGGCCCGACACTGACATGGCCCGACACTGACAAAGACATGGCCCGACACTGACATGGCCCGACACTGACACAGACATGGCCCGACACTGACATGGCCCGACACTGACACTGACAAAGACATGGCCCGACACTGACAAAGACATGGCCCGACACTGACACTGACATGGCCCGACACTGACAAAGACATGGCCCGACACTGACATGGCCCAACACTGACATGGCCCGACACTGACATGGCCCGACACTGACACTGACAAAGACATGGCCCGACACTGACATGGCCCAACACTGACATGGCCCGACACTGACATGGCCCGACACTGACACTGACACTGACATGGCCCGACACTGACATGGCCCGACACTGACACAGACATGGCCCGACACTGACATGGCCCGACACTGACACAGACATGGCCCGACACTGACATGGCCCGACACTGACAAAGACATGGCCCGACACTGACACAGATATGGCCCGACACTGACATGGCCCGACACTGACACTGACATGACCTGACACTGACACTGACACAGACATGGCCCGACACTGACACTGACACTGACATGGCCCGACACTGACATGGCCCGACACTGACATGGCCCGACACTGACATGACCCGACACTGACACGACACAGACATGGCCCGACACTGACACTGACACTGACATGGCCCGACACAGGCATGGCCCGACACTGACATGGCCCGACACTGACATGACCCAACACTGACATGACCCAACACTGACACAGACATGGCCCGACACTGACATGGCCCGACACTGACATGGCCCGACACTGACAAAGACATGGCCCGACACTGACATGGCCCAACACTGACATGGCCCGACACTGACATGGCCCGACACTGACAAAGACATGGCCCGACACTGACACTGACACTGACATGGCCCGACACTGACATGGCCCGACACTGACACAGACATGGCCCGACACTGACATGGCCCGACACTGACATGGCCCGACACTGACATGGCCCGACACTGACAAAGACATGGCCCGACACTGACACAGATATGGCCCGACACTGACATGGCCCGACACTGACACTGACATGACCCGACACTGACACTGACACAGACATGGCCCGACACTGACACTGACACTGACATGGCCCGACACAGGCATGGCCCGACACTGACATGGCCCGACACTGACATGACCCAACACTGACATGACCCAACACTGACACAGACATGGCCCGACGTTGACACAGACATGGCCCGACGTTGACACTGACATGGCCCGACACTGACACTGACATGGCCCGACACTGACACTGACACTGACACAGACGTGGCCCGACTGACACTGACTCTGACTCTGACACTGACACTGACTCTGACTCTGACTCTGACTCTGAAACTGACTCTGACTCTGACACTGACACTGACTCTGACACTGACACTGACTCTGACACTGACACTGACACTGAACCTGACCCTGACTCTGACACTGACACTGACACTGACTCTGACTCTGACTCTGACTCTGACACTGACTCTGACACTGACACTGACTCTGACCCTGACCCTGACCCTGACCCTGACACTGACTCTGACACTGACACTGACTCTGACTCTGACACTGACTCTGACTCTGACTCTGACACTGACCCTGACACTGACTCTGACTCTGACTCTGACCCTGACACTGACTCTGACTCTGACTGACACTGACTCTGACTCTGACTCTGACACTGACTCTGACTCTGACACTGACTCTGACTCTGACACTGACACTGACTCTGACTCTGACACTGACTCTGACTCTGACACTGACTCTGACTCTGACACTGACACTGACTCTGACACTGACTCTGACTCTGAAACTGACACTGACCCTGACCCTGACCCTGACACTGACTCTGACTCTGACACTGACACTGACTCTGACTCTGACACTGACACTGACTCTGACTCTGACACTGACTCTGACTCTGACACTGACTCTGACACTGACTCTGACTCTGACACTGACACTGACTCTGACACTGACACTGACACTGAACCTGACCCTGACTCTGACACTGACACTGACACTGACTCTGACTCTGACTCTGACTCTGACACTGACTCTGACACTGACACTGACACTGACTCTGACCCTGACCCTGACCCTGACCCTGACACTGACTCTGACACTGACACTGACTCTGACTCTGACACTGACTCTGACTCTGACTCTGACACTGACCCTGACACTGACTCTGACTCTGACTCTGACCCTGACACTGACTCTGACTCTGACTGACACTGACTCTGACTCTGACTCTGACACTGACTCTGACTCTGACACTGACTCTGACTCTGACACTGACACTGACTCTGACTCTGACACTGACTCTGACTCTGACACTGACACTGACTCTGACTCTGACTCTGACACTGACTCTGACTCTGACACTGACTCTGACTCTGACTCTGACACTGACACTGACTCTGACTCTGACACTGACACTGACTCTGACTCTGACACTGACTCTGACTCTGACACTGACACTGACTCTGACTCTGACACTGACACTGACTCTGACACTGACACTGACTCTGACCCTGACCTTGACCCTGACACTGACACTGACTCTGACTCTGACACTGACTCTGACTCTGACACTGACTCTGACACTGACACTGACTCTGACTCTGACTCTGACTCTGACTCTGACCCTGACCCTGACACTGGCTCTGACTCTGACACTGACTCTGACTCTGACACTGACTCTGACTCTGACACTGACTCTGACTCTGACTCTGACACTGACACTGACTCTGACTCTGACTCTGACTCTGACACTGACACTGACACTGACTCTGACACTGACACTGACTCTGACCCTGACCCTGACCCTGACACTGACACTGACTCTGACTCTGACACTGACTCTGACTCTGACTCTGACTCTGACTGACACTGACACTGACACTGACTCTGACTCTGACTCTGACACTGACTCTGACACTGACACTGACACTGACTCTGACACTGACTTTACAGTCGTTCTGGGGACGTCCTGGTGTGTGTCAGAGAGTCTGAGTTTACAGTCGTTCTGGGGACGTCCTGGTGTGTATCAGAGAGTCTGAGTTTACAAACGTTCTGGGGACGTTCTGGTGTGTGTCAGAGAGTCTGTTTACAGACATT